GTTGCTACAATCTTCTCTCGGATTTAGGGTTTAGGGTTTAGGGTTTAGGGTTTAGTGTTTAGGGTCTACCATTTGTATGTGACAATGTCATGTTTGCTGGTTGTTGCAGAAGCCCACAAGGGTATTGGGCGCGCAAAGGCCCCTTACATAAGATCGCTCAGAGCTTTAGGGCTTCAGGGTCGACCATTCTTGGGCAGCAGGGTTTGGGGTTTCGGGGTTGAGGGCTAGGATTTGGGGTTCGGATACTCAAAACCCAACGTGCCCTCATGCGCAAAAACAGTCGCAAACTCTGACAAACCCTAATATCCCAAACTTAACGGCTCTAGAAAGAAAGGCGATGCGGGTCTCTACATGATCCCGTCAGGGGCCTATAGGGGGCTATACCTAGCCACTGAGAGAGAGAGAGAGAGAGAGAGAGAGAGAGAGAGACAGAGAGAGGGAGAGAGAGAGAGAGAGAGCCGTGCACCCTTAACCCCACAAAACTCAGGTTGCAACTGGGATCCTGGCTACCTGCCATGTTGCCGTTCCAGAGGTCCTTGGGATGCAAACGTAGGGTTTTGGAGAACCGCAAGCCCTAAGCCCTCTGGGGTTTAGGGTTTAGGGTTAGGGTTTAGGGTTTAGGTTTTAGGGCTTAGGGCCCATCCTCGGGCAGGATCTCCTCCCCTAAAGCCTACAAAGCCTTAAGGGTTTCTGAGCCGGGTTTAGGTGATTATGTCTGCTGCGCACTTTATGCAGGTCCAACATGAGAAAGCTTAGAAGTAGGGGCCTCCTATTTAATTATGTGTAGGGTCAGAAGGGCCGTAACTTGGGCTAGCAGTCTTACAAATTAGGTTCTAATTCTCTTGCCTAAACTTGGTGCAGTCAGGGGGCCCCTACTTGTAGACCCTGAATCCGAAACTCTGATCCCTAAACCCTAAACCCCTTATCTTTGAATCCCAACCCCTTTATAGACCCTATAGAGCCTGTAGACCCTTTGCAAACCCTGTCGCCATAAGCCCTATAACCATATAAGCCTTGTAACCCTTACAAACCCTAAACACCCTACAAGCGTGAAAGCCTTTAAACCCTTTACACCGTATATGGGGGTTTACGAATTATATAGGGGTACCAAATTAGTGGAGTCCGTATTCCAAGGGGATCCTGCTAGTATATGAGGGGTTCCTTCTTGTCATAAACCCTAAACCCTAAACCCTAAACCCTAAACCCTAAACCCTAAACCCTAAACCCAATGAAAAAAAATAGGCCGGAGCCCCGACAGCGCAGGAGGGACTGGCCATCTGTGAAGTTTGCAGGGGGGAGATGCGGTTTTAGGGAAGCTATCGATGTGTTTTCGCTACAGATTCCTGCTTTCAGGCACCCAAAATCCTGGAACCCTTTGAGCAACAACTCTGAGCCCTAGACGCCTAGACCCCCAAAGACCCCTAAAACTCTAAACTTTAACTCTGCAAACTCTTGGTGCCCCACTCCATGTAGCAGCGAAGGCTTTACCTGGGTCTAGGGTTTAGGGTTTAGGGTTTAGGCTGCACCGGCTTCTTAGGTTCAAGGACACCTGTCAGCCGTTTCAGGTTCGCAGGTGGGTTTGAGAGGAGTGGGGCCTCAACTCAGCCAACCCTAAACCCTAAACCCTAAACCCTACACCCTGAACCCTGAACCCTGAACCCTAGATCCTAGACCTTGAACCCTGAACCCTAAACCCTGAACCTCCTGGGCGCTTCGCACACAAGTCGACCCTCCAAGTTGGAGTCATTGTGGACCCGATGAACCCAAAAGAGGTTTAGGGCTTGGGACGTAGGGTTTGGGGTTTAGGGTTTAGGGTTTGGGGTTTAGGGTTCAGGGTTTGGCTCATATTAGGCTCATATACCGCAAAAAAACAATCTAGTAGCACAGGGCATATAATCCCCTTTTCAGGGCTTGGTCACCAAGAATTTCGTCGTTGTCACATCCGTCTTGGTCGGAGCACACAGGGGTACCCTAAATTCCAAACCCTAAACAGGGTCGCATGACCGTCATATCAGCACGGCAACTGCAAGTTTAGGGTTTAGGGTTTAGGGTTTAGGGTTGAACTGTATCTTGCAAGTGTGCTTCGGAAATTGAGTGTCCACTTGGGCAAGGGCTGGTTTCTTTGCGCTGTTCATCTTTGCAACGCTCTTGCAGAAGTGGACACGCCCTGCTGTAGGGTTTAGGGTTCAGGGTGTAGGGATCCATCCTGAAGATGAGTCAGGCTGGTTCTGCAAGGGCATCCCAGTCGCCTCGCCGTCCGCAAAGAGCGCCTTGCGGACGCTGCTTGGGTTTAGGGTTTAGGATTTAGGGTTTAGGGTTTAGGGTTTCGGGTTTAGGATTTAGGGTTTAGGGTCTAGGGTCTAGAATTTAGGGTTTAGGGTGTAGGGGGCAGGGTTGAGGGGTTAGGGTTGAGGGTTGAGGGTTTCAAGGGTGTAACCCGGGCTTCAGTACCCTCGTTGGGGACTTAACGTGTCCAAAAGGGCGGCCTTCAGACTGAGATGACGGTTGCATATAGCTTGGGATGTTCCCCCTTAGTCCTTAATGGGGATCAGAGTAGCCCTCCCCATTATCGTCCCAATTAAGGACTGCTAGTAAGCGGGTGGAACATCCCAAGTCATTGCAGAAAACACGCCAAGAAAATTGAAAATACAGCTTGTAGCAAGACAGTGTCCTTCGACAGCATAGTTTGGACCCTGAATCATTCTGAACCCCACAACCCATGGTTTAGGGTTTAGGGTTTAGGGTCTATAATTTCAACCATGGAACCCTAATAAGCCCTGCACTCTAAACCCGACATTCCGATCTCTCAACCCAAGCCCCTATAAATGAACCCTAAACCCTAACTAAACCCCAAACACCCAAAAGAAACCGTAAACCCCACATAAACCCCAAGCCCTAAAACAACGTAAAACAAAAAAACCTTAAACTTGGGATGTTCCCCATGATACTAGCATTACTTCATAGGGGTGATAATCGGCGGTATGATATTCCATGTTAAGGACTGTTTGTACAAGGGGGGAACATCCCAACCCCAAAATGAACAGCCGTAAGATACAGCCCAAGCCCTACCCCCCCCCCCCCCCCCCCCCAAAAAAAAAAAAAAACAACAACAACAAACCCTTACCCCCAAGCAAACCCCAATCCCTAAAACCCCAAATTACAGCCCAAGCCCTAGACCTTAAAACAAGCTTAAACCCCAAATTACAGCTAAACCCTGAAACCTAAACCCCAAACCCTAAACCCTAAACCCTAAACCCTACAACAGCCTTAGACCCTAAATGACAGCCCCAAGCCCTAAACCCCTGGCCTCGAGGTTCCTGGTGCTTCGGAGGACCTGGCTCTGGCAGTCGGCTTGGAGCTTTATAGGGCCTTGGGGGCTAGGTTTAGGGTTTAGGGTTTAGCTAGGGTTTAGGGTTTAGGGTTTGGGGTTTGGGGTTTAGGGTTTCATTAGTGGATTTTGAGGTTTTAGGCGTTTGTGGTTTCTATGGCTTCGGGATTTGCAGGTTTTAGGGTCTTGGAGTTTAAGGTTGGGGGCCTGTGGCGTTTAAAGGTTTTGCGGCTGTGGGGTCTTAAGCTTGTGTGGCTGTAGGGCTTGGGGCTTCTATCTAAGGTTTGGGGGTTCGGGTTGCGAAGTTTGGGGCTTTATTTTTTCAGATGTCAGGTTTTTTGTCGGTTTTAGGGATTTCGGCGCTTAGGGTTTATGCCTGTGGGGCTTTAGGCTTGTCGGGTTTAGTGAAAAGTCTTGCCAGAGAGCCACACCAACTAGCCTCCATTCAATTCGGGGTCTAGGTCGGAGTCTGGGTATAGGGCTTGTGGGTTTGGGGTTGGGTTTGCTTGGAAGCCTTCCAAAGTAGGGTCCTATACCCCTTACATACCTTGCACAACCCAAGGCCCAGAAGTACATGCGCTTCCAAGCCGCGTCGGGCTGATTTCTTGCCAGAAAATTCTGCAGTGGTGATGAAGACGATAGGCAGGGCTTACAATCATCGGAGAAGTTTCCGACGACTGCCAGCTTCTCTACCCCATCCTCGCCGTGGACCCGGACCGAAAGGTCCGTGCCTTTCGGCTTGCCGGGTCTCACTACACGGCGGAAAAGGCCTCCATGCAGCCATTGGATGCTCGGCTGTGGGCCTTCTTTAGCTGCTTCCGCACGTTTTTGCTGACCTTCACAGCGGCGTGAAGATAGGATGAAAGTCTGTCACAACAAAGATATTGATATATTATCTAAACATAATCATAATAGTAAAGAAGAATTGACATGGCCTTGAGGCTCTAGGGCTGGGACCCGAATGACCCTAAACCTCGATGCCAAACCCACCACTTGGAGGTTCATGGTACTTTATCGTAACCAAATGATAACTGTACTTATAACCCACTTAAGAAGACCCTTCAGTGCCCTCATATGGCTATAACTACGGTTGTGAGTACAGAAACCCTAAACCCTAAACCCCAAAACCCTCAACCCTACAAGCAGACCCTGACTGAAAACCCTGCAGCCAAGGCGCTGGGATCAGGCTCGGATTTAGGGTTGCAGGTCCCTAAACCCTAAACCCTGAATCCTAAACCCTAAACCCTAAACCCTGAACCCTAAACCCTAAACCCTAAACCCTAAACCCTAAACCCTAAACCCGAAACCCTAAACCCTAAACCCGAAACAGACTCTTCTAGGTTTTCACGGGAATCACCTTCTGTCGAAAGCCTCCCAGGCTCGACCCACGAGTAACCTCGGTATAACAAGGCTACCCTTTTCATTTGGGCCTACAAGGGAACCTAAACCATAAAAAAAAGGGGAAAAGGGGCCTACTCTGGGACGTAGCAGGACATTTTGGGGGGTTTACAAAAATAGTAGACCCCAAAACTAGCCCCCCCCAATATGGACCCCAATAAGGTATCCCTAATGTCGGAAACCCCCATGCACGACATCCAACTTCGCTGACCTTATTGGGGGCCTGCTTCCAGAGCGGCAACAGTTTTCGGACCCGCTTGAGCAATGGCGCCATGCCTGGCTGAGGGCTGAGGGTCCCTAAACCCTAAACAGGTTTGTTGAACCTCCTACTCGCCCTAAACTACCCAGTCAACCCTAAAACCCCTACCCTTACAACAAAGGGTAGGGGTACCACTGGTCGTCCTGGAAACCCTCGACCCTAGGCACCTGCTTGGAGTGGGGCTCAGAGGAAGTTGAGGTGGGTCTTTTAGGGTCTCGGGGTTTGTGCTTTCGGGTTTGGGGTTTCTCAACCCTAAACCCTGAACCCTAAGCCCTAAACCCTAAGCCCTAAACCCTAAACCCTAAACCCACGCCTTAGTTGGACTTGAGCTTGAGAGCTTGGGAGAGACCGCAAGAACCCTGGCCAGAAACCCCGTGAAACTATCCCGAAACCGCAAACTTCCAAACCCAAAAACCCCTAAACCCTGAAACGCCCAAAGCCCCTAAACCCTAAGATCCAAGTCAAACCGAATACCCGAAACCCTGAAAAGCAACAAAAGCCCTCGACCGTAAACCCCAAAACTCTAAACCCTAAGCCCCAAACCACCTAAACTACAATCCTAAACCCTAAACCCTAAACTTATAAACCCTAACCCCTAAACCGTACACAATGGCAAACCCTAAACCCTAGACCCTAAACCCTAAACCCTAAACCCATCTTCAAACACGCGCCAGAGGGCGCGCCGCTCCGCGAAGAAGCGTGGCCAGTGATCATCCCATGAGTTGTCTCAGAGCAGGATTTGGGGTTTTTTGGGGCTTACAGGGCTCAAGGGTTTAGGGTTTAGGGTTTAGGGTTTAGGGTTTAGGGTTTGGGGCTCAAGGTCGAGGGATTGTTTAGGGGTCTGCAGGGCAGAAGGGTTGTAGGGTTCAGTGTGTAGAGTGTACTAACCGATTGAGGTGTGGGGATTAGGATTTGGGGTTTGGTGTTTATAGGTTTAGGGGAGACGGGGGGGGGGGGGGGCGTAAGGCTCAAGGTGTTAACGGGAATCGGGTGCTTTTGGGCTTCGCGTGGATTTGAATTCCAAGGTTTAGGGTTTAGGGTTTAGAGTTGCGGGTGAAATGGAGATGCCGAGCTTTAGTTTTAGTGTCTGCGGGGGGTTTGGGGTTTGGGGAACTGGGCCTTAGGCAATGTCCGTAAGATCATGCTATGCCCTAAACCCTAAACCCTAAACCCTAAACCCTAAACCCTAAACCCTAAACCCCAGGGCTTCTCGGCCCCTAAGCCCGGAAGCCTGCGTGCTGATCTCGGCCCTGATTCAGGCCAGACCCCAAGCCCGTGATTGGATTCTTACAAGTATTGGCCCCCTCAGTAACATTAGGGTTTAGGGTTTAGGGTTTAGGGCTTAGGATTTAGGGCTTAGGGTTTTGGGGGGCCCCCTTTACAATACTAACTTTAGCAAAAGGGAATTATAACCTGAAAAAGTAGGACTTATAACCCAATGAAGCGCCCATATAACCCTAGTTAGAACTCGGGGGCCCCTACATGTAGGAAACCTACGAGGCATGGGTTACATGTGTTTGGGGTTTAGGGTTTAGGGTTTAGGGGTAGGTTTAGGGGTATCCCCACACCCACGTGGGACCTTGCCGGGTGCCGCCGAGGTAGGTGTCTACCTCGGCCGGAGAGCCCCAAGTGAAGATGCAGGGCTTGCTTGGGGCTCAGGGTTCAGGGTTCAGGGTTTAGGGTTCAGGGTTTAGGGTTGAGGGTTCAGGGCTCAGGGCTTCAGGTTTAGGGTCTAGGGTTTAGGGTTTAGGGTGTAGGGTTCACGGTTTAGGGTTCATGCGCATGTAGATGCATGTAGGGTTTGCCCTAAGGCTTCAAATAGGCCGAAGCGGGTGATGTTTACAGACGTTAGACCCCATGTATGTATGATTTGTATACTTGGAGCCCCCAAACCCTACACCCTACACCCTAAACCCTAAACCCTAAACCCTGAACCCTAAACCCTAAACCCTAAACCCGAAACCCTCCCTCGGATTGGGGTTTAGGGTTTACACTTCAAGCGAATACAGATACATATGGGGGGTAGGGTTTTACAAGGGCTCAGGGTTCAAGTGCATAGTGGCGTTGGGGTTTGCAGACAGTGGTGGAGGTGTCGCCACGTTCCATAGGCCGTGGGTTCTGCGTGCCGTATCCATGCCTATCCGACAGGGTCCTAAGGGAGGGGGGTTCCCTAAGACTCCCCACTACTCCCTAAGGCTCCGTAGGCTTCCCTAAGGTTCCTGCGTTCAAATGTACAAAAGCGGCTGGTTCTTAGCAGGAAATTTTGGAATGAGGTACCCTAAAGAATCCCTTAAAGGGTACAGAGGGCCCTGATTCCCTCATTCCCTACTCAGAACCAGGGGAAAGCAGGGATTGTAGGCCCTAAACCCTAAACCCTAAACACTAAACCCGACTTCACTTCCTTTGATGTGTTTGAGGGCTCCCCTCGCGCGTGCACTGATGCACACTGCACACCCTAAATCCTACACCAAAACCTACACCCTCAACCCCAAACCCTGGACCAGAACCTAAACCTAAGCCCTAAACCGGACCCTAAACTCTGAACCCTAAACCCGAATTGGGGCTTTGGGGGTTTAGGGAAGGGGTGGGGGGGAGGGTTGGTGTTGATTTCCTGCAGCGCTAAAGCCTGCTCCTTCCCTCCGCCCCCCCCCCCCCCCCCCCATAGACACTAAGCCCTACAGGTCCTCAAGCCTAAGCCCTAAGCCCGAAACTCTGAACCCTACAAACCCTAAGCCCAAAGCTATCAGCCCTGACTAGAGTTAAGGTTGAGACATGTCGCAAGTCGCTCTGCAGGCTCTTTGGTGCTCGCGACATCTATGGTCACTGCACGGTCTGTTTAGTCTGTTTCAATGGACTGTATAGATCGTTAGCGTCAGGGGCGGGACCTGTAACGTGCATGCGCAGACATTGGATGACTGAGCTAAAGCCGTCTACTGTCCCTCCCTTGACGACAGCTTCGGGCTTGTAGAGGAGTAGACAACAGCAAACCAAAAAAACACTCGAAACAAACCGGTATACATACATATATATATATATATATGGACTTATCGATATATATATATATATATAGATTGAGCTATACTCATATACATACAGTATTACTCCCGCGGACATTTAAACATGGGTCCTGTGTAGTACCCCCTGAAGGTGCACAGGCATAGCGGTCCTCAGGTGCTCTGCTGACTGATGTCGAAGATCTCTGTCCAGTGAGCTCACCCGAAAGCCTAACCCCTGAACTCTGAGCACTAAAGCCTAAACCCTAAACCCTAAAGGCCTAACCCCTGAACTCTGAACTCTGAGCACTAAACCCTAAACCCTAAACCCTAAACCCTAAACCCTAAACCCTAAACTCTAAACCCTAAACCCTAAACCCTAAACCCTAAACCCTAAACCCTAAACCCTAAACCCTAAACTGAATAGAGGGTTTTGTGGTTTACTTGGCCCTGTCAAGCCACGGATCACCTGTCTACAGCGTCTATCCATCCGACCGTGGCTACCTATCCCTGCTAGTGATAAATTGGGTTAGAAGGGCCTGGGATTCGGATTCTGGGTCTTACTATTTCGGCTATGGTTCCTTTCACTAAAGTTGGTACAGCAAGGCGGCCCCTACTTGTAACCTTCCAGGGACCTGCCAGTTGTGTCCTTAGCAGTTCTTGTAACCTTATTACTAGGTTTCTGAGACATAGAACATTTAATCTGTCTCTTGGTAGCCCAGTAACCATATTCTACTAAGGGTACCCTTTTTGTGGGTTAGTTGCTTTACAAGGGAACCTTGAACCAACAAAATGGGCGAAGTGAGTGTTCGACATTGATGGGCGTATTGTGGCTAGCTCCTCCACCACTGGGAAATTGTACGGTCCAGGGTTTATATAGTTCGTACAGTGATGAGATGCTGACAAATAGTTATGAAACATATAAGTATGAATAAATGAATAAGAATTGTACATATATACGTGCACACATATATATATATATTGTATGTTCGACTCAGTAATCATGCCTTGCGTGGTGTGCGAGCTAAGTGCCATGCAAAGATGCCGTGGGAAGTGCACCCAACAACGCCCCTCTCCAGGTGTTTCCACCGTGCGCTCCCTAAACCCTAAACCCTAAACCCTCAACCCTCAACCCTAAACCCTAAACCCTAACTCGCCCACCATGCCTGTGACCTCCATTGTCCTGACGGAAGAGCCGTCTTCCATAGGCAGCGTGGTTCGCTCAGAGACACCGAACCGATGCGGAGTGTTGAAGAACCATATAGGATTTAGGGTTTAGGGTTTAGGGTTTAGGGTTCAGGGTTTAGGGTTACAAGTAGTGGCCCCCTACTTATGAATAGGGATACAAGGGCCCTACATTGGGTTGCAATGTTCCCTTAAAAAGGTTAGCACAGTAAGGGTGCCCCTACTTGTAGGGCCTTTGGGGGTTGAGAGTTTAGGGCTTGGGGTATAGGGTTGAGAGTTGTCTTCAGCTGTTTTGTCAACTTTACACTTCAGATTTCAGGCGCTTGCTTTTCTCAGGTGCAAGTCCTTTTTTGGTTGCTAAAGATTCCTTGTTCTTTGCATTGGCCCAACTGTGAGACCTAGGTGCCCAACAAGATCAACTACAATTCGGCCTGGGTCTCGGTCTGGTTTCTACAGGGTATTTGTGTAGGTCTTAGCCCGAAACTATAAGCCCTGCACCTTAAACCCTAAACCCTAAACCCTAAACCCTCAAACTTAGGGCGCAGGGCTTCAAGCCACGAGTCGGGTGGTTCGATGATGAGCTCCCTGATGGTTCTTGGTACTCTCCCCGGAAAGACACCCCGCCGAGATAAACGCTCATGAATGTGTTTATAAGCGTTTAAGGTTTAGGGAGTTCTAGGGAGTTTTAGGGAGTTATAGGGAGTTATAGGGAGTTTTAGGGAGTTCTAGGGAGTTTTAGGGAGTATAGGGAGCTATAGGGAGTTTTAGGGAGTTCTAGGGAGTTTTAGGGAGTTCTAGGGAGTTATAGGGAGGAACCCTGTATGAATTCACCAAGTC